AAAGGTCAAGTCCCAATCGGAACAGTGCACAGAAATACGATTCAAGTATTTCATGCCTGATGTGCGTCCCACGGAGCAGCCCTTCCCACGGCCCCGTGTGCCTGGCTCTCCGGCCTCCCTGCACTCCGGCCAGTTGGCTGTGTGACACAGAGCACGTGTATGAGCGTATCTAACTGGTGTCCAGCCCTACGTCAGCACGTTCCCAGGAGTATCTCGGGCACTTTTCCATCTGCTGGGGCTCTTTTAGACTCCCTTAAATTGTATTTTCATTTCTTCCTTTTATTTCCTTGAACATATTAGATGTAATAATTTTGTAGCCTACATCCGATCAATCCTGCAGGCCAAGTGCACCTCTGATTCCGCGGGCAGCTGTCTGTCTGTGCCGCCCCTGACGTCCTTGCGAGTCCTGCGCTCGGTGACTGTGAGCCCGTGCTCCCTGGGACTGTGTCCGAGGGAGTTCTCTGAGGGCCGGGGTTCACGGGATTTCTCTAGAGCGTGTTGCCGTGGGTCTCTGCTGGGCGCCTCGGGTAGGAACTAGTCAAGACCACTGGGGTTTGCGTTGCGGTTTCCGGGTGACACAGAGAGTGCGCTCAGGCCGGGAGGAGCTGCATGGCACCGAGGCTCGGGGGCTCGTTCTCACTCTCCCTGTCCTGTTCGGTGGTGCTACGGAGCCCTCAGCCCTCTCTGCAGGACTATTTCCCATCCACCCCGCACTGAGGGCGGAGCCCTGCCAGACCCGCACCCTGGGTGGGTGGCGCCCTACTCTGGGGCTCTCGCTGCTCTGGGTAGCAGACCTGGAGGTCATTCGTGACCGCTCTCCCCCTCACTCAGCACATCCAGTTGTAACTGGTTTGTCCAACAGACTTGTGATTGGATCAAAACACACCTTTCGATACCCGATACTCATCAGTGGGGGGGGGTACCCCGTCAATTTGCACAGCCTTTTCTCCCCACTCCTGAATAACAGCCGTGTTTGTGCTGTTTTAAATACTTAAGACGTTAGTATTTCCAGCCCTGAAGACTGGTCGCACTCCCTGGTCTCTCTGCTGGGCTGGAGCCTGTGGCACCCTGGGAGGTGGCCGTGTCCCCACCAGGGCCCACGTGGGACGGCAGGGGATGAGGGACAGAGCACTCGCACGGAGACTAGCCATCTAGAACTCAGGCCTGAGCTGCTGAACCCCCAGCAAACCACAGCTGTCACCGTGCGGCTTGATGCAAAGGAGCTGCCATTCCCGCTACGCAGCCCTTTGGCTGGTGGGGAAGGAGATATGACAGCACAGATTTTGCCGAAGTTACCTTCCTTCCAGGGGCCTCCCTCTCCTTCCTGTCCAGGGCCTGTTCTGTCCTCAAGGAAGGGGAATTCCAAGCTCAAGCAGATCTTAGTTATTGTCTTGAAATTCTGAGACATTATACCTCATGTGTCTTGGGGACTTGGTAAGAACTTTTTCAGTACTCGGTCATGTAGCCATGTTTGTTCTAACTTCTCAGTAACCCTGTTCTTCCACAAGCTGGGACCCCACTTCCTCCGTTTGCCCAGGAAATGTCTCCTTACCCTCAGAGGTGACCCCTCTCCAGTGAGGATTGGCTTCTCATTTATCTCTGTCCACGTAGCATCTTCCTTACACCTTTCTTTCTCCTTGCATAAAAATTGCACCGTGTTTGCCTGTTGGCCCACCTTCTCTTCCACGTGACTGTGAACTTCTGCAGGCCAGGAGCCACGCCACAGCCGTTTTTATATTCCTAAGGCTGAGCACAGTGCCAGGCACTGTGAGGTGTTCCACAGTAGTCTATGGAACTGAGGTGAGTGCACGTGGCCAAGCCAATGCTCCCTAAGAAGCAGCAACCGCACAGAATTCAGGCCCAGGCTTCTGTGTTTAAGCCAGGGTCAAACTTAAGATAACCATGTGGGGGGATACTCGTCACCTTTGTCTTCTCTTCAAGCTTTCCCCCTCCTCCCTGCCATCTGGGCACAAGCCTTTATTAAGCTCACCCTTCCCCCTGATATTTAGGAGGGATCGTTCAGGCCCAGGTTAAAGAGGACCCTGCTATCTCCTACAGGTTTGGTGGCCTGGAAGTATTCATTGTATTCATGGAAGTGGTGGTAAATGATTTCCAGAGATTACTTTTTAAATATTTATTTTGAGAGAGAAAGCACGCACAAGCAGGGGATGAACAGAGAGAGAGGGAGACAGAGAGCATGAACAGAGGACGGGCATAGGGAGGGAGGGAGAGTGAATCCCAAGCAGGCTCCACACTCATCGCAGAGCCTGATGCGGGACTTGATCTCACCACTGTGAGATCATGACCTCAGCTGAGACCAAGAGTCAGACGCTTAACTGATTGAGCCACCCGGGCGCCCCTCTAGAGATTTTGATATACTTACTTTACCAGGATAAAGACACAGGCAAACAAATGTTCTATCAATGAAATTATGTCTACAATTGAAAATAGAAAAGCTTTTAATTTTTTTTCTTCTGAGATGTCCAAGTTCAATGGAACAGTTTGCACTCAGGTGTAGAGGGAATCACGAACATCTCATAACACATTTCCTTTCCAGTTCCTTTACACCAGGTGAAAATGCTCTCATGGTAAAACACAGGCCTTGGTGCAGGCCGGGCCCGAGGCTTCTGTCCTGAGCAGATGCCCCTGGGCCGGCACTCCTGTCCCTGGCCAGCGGTGCCAGGTCCCCACAGTGAGGCCCCTTAGAACTGGGCCCTTGCTCATCCCAGGGGCTGGTGACACCCAGAGGCCTCTGGCCCTTCACAGCTACATAGCATAGCCCTGGCCCGTCTAGCATTTGTTTAGAGCCAGGATGGGGGGAAGACTCCAGGTGGTAGAAGCTGTTTGCCCCCGGGGGGAGGGAGGTATAATCACCCTCCAGCAGAACCCTTGAGGGAAGCACGAACCAGTTTTCACAGGCATGTTTTCATCTTAGAGATGCACAGGGGGAACCCGGCACACAGGAGTGTGCTCACGCTCTCCAAGCAAGGAAGTGGCAATGTCAGCATCCTGCCTCTAAACTGCTCTTACGCCAAGGAGCCTGCAGCACCCATCATACCCGAGAGAGCCGGCGTGCCCTCACCTCTTCACCCCAAGGCAGCATGAAATTACCAGCTCTCACTGGAGGCATCTGCTCTCCATACTCACATTAGCCAAGATAGCCCTTCACAAGTTTTAATGCAGTCTCTCATTTAGCCAAGGGGAGGGCACGACACAGGGATTTTTCACAGTCTTTCTGCAACACTGTCACACAGCACCATATGCGTGACTGTTTCTGGACTTCTCAGGTGATGGTGGCTGTGAGCTCCTGAGGTTGTTTGACCCTGTTTTTTTTTTTTAATGTTTCATTTATTTTAGAGAGAGAGAAACAGCGTGAACAGGGGAGGGTCAGAGAAAGAGGGTGACACAGAATCTGAAGACAGGCTCCAGGCTCTGTCTGAGCTGTCAGCACAGAGCCCAACGCAGGGCTGGAACTCACTAACTGTGAGATCATGACCTGAGCTGAAGTCGGATGCTCAACCGACTGAGCTGCCCAGGTGCCCAGACCCTATTTTAAACATTGACTCAACATGTGCACGTTGCACAGGAGTAAAATAGGAAAGCCTGCACATAGCTCTGAGCTAAAAGATCTGAAACGTCTACACCTCTCTGAGGAGCATTTCTTAAAGAAAGAAAAAAAAAGTGTGTTCCCCTTTAAGGCAAAGCCCCCCCAGCCCTACAGCCAGCAGCTGGCCTGAGAGCCCTGCCTCAGGACGCTGGCTGTGCGGGGCCCAGTAAGTCATCCGTTTGAATAATTTTCTATATACGGGGTAGGGAGAACGGATGTGCCTTTGTTCTCCAAGCACTGCCAAGGGAGGTTTCCCCCGAGCGCGTGCGGACCCGGTTGTCCCCGGGGAGTGGTCCCAGGGCTGCGGGGCCGAGGAGGGGTGCCTGGCGCGCTGGGAACCCTCACGGAGCCCCTGGGATTTCGGGTTCATTTCCCAGGAGTGTTTGCTAATGAACAAAAGTTTTGCTCGGCACAGAAGAGCATGGTGCCGAAGCGTGTATATGGCTGTTTGAAGGGAAGGAAATGCACCCCCAAGCTAGGGAACAGCCCCGCAGGCCGGGGAGCAGAACCAAGGGCCGCCGCCGCTGGAGCCGCTGGGCCGCGCCGCGTCCGCCGCTCGCCAGGCAGGCGCCGCCCGGGACGCTGGCTGGCGGTATGGGCGGGGACCGGGGCTGTGATCCAGGAGTGCTCCCAGGGAGGAGGAGGGGGAGGAGGGGGAGCAGGCGCGCCTCGGAAGCGGGACGGTGGCGCTGATTGACGGTAACGGCGGGGTCCAGGCCAGGGGCGGGGCGGGGTTGCTCGGACTCTCCGGGGCCGAGGGGGAGGAGGGAAGAGCTTGGGGCTGCGGCGCTGATTGGTGATAATGACGGAGGCGGGGCGGAGGGACGGGCGCTTATTGGCGGCTGTGGTGGAGGGCGGGGCGAGTCGGGGCGGGGCTGCGCGGGGCTGGCCCTCGCCAGGTGGTGGCCGCGGGAGGTGGAGAAGAGGGGGAGGGGGAGGAGGAGGAGGGAGCATCTGATTGGCGGTAGTGGTTGTGGGCGGGGCGGGGCTGCCCGGGGCTGGTCCACGCGGGGCGGCCTTGGCAGCAGCCCCAGCGGCAGCAGGAGTAGGAGGGAGCATCTGGGGCGGCGGGCACTGATTGGCGGTAGTGGTTGTGGGCGGGGCGGGGCTGCCCGGGGCTGGTCCACGCGGGGCGGCCTTGGCAGCAGCCCCAGCGGCAGCAGGAGTAGGAGGGAGCATCTGGGGCGGCGGGCACTGATTGGCGGTAGTGGTTGTGGGCGGGGCGGGGCGGGGCGGGGCTGCCGGAGGCTGGTCCCCGCGGGGCAGCAGCAGCAGGGGAAGTAGGGGGAGGGGGCGGTGGCACCTGGGCGGCGGGCACTGATTGGCGGTAGTGGCTGTGGGCGGGGCGGGGCTGCCCGGGGCTGGTCCTCGCAGGCTGCAGGAGGGGGAGGAGGAGAAGGGAGGAGGGAGCGTGGAGCCCCGGCGCCGTGGCCGGCTCGGCCTGCCCTTTGTGCCCGCAGCCCGCGCCCCGCGCGGATGGCCGCCGTGCCGGGCTCCCCGGCGGCGCGCGCCCGCCCGCGGACCTGACCCCGCGCGCCTGGGATGCGCCGGGAATGCGCGTCCTCCGGGCCTGCGGCTCCTCCCGGCCGGGCGCGGGGCGATGGAGCTGAGCATGAAGAAGTTCACGGTGCGCAGGTTCTTCTCCGTGTACCTGCGCAGGAAGTCGCGCTCCAAGAGCTCCAGCCTCAGCCGACTCGAGGTAAGTGCCGTCGCCTCCGCGCGCAGGACCCAGGTCCCCGCCGCGCCCCGAAGGATGCTGCGGTCTCTCAGCCATTCCGAGCCCTTTCTATTGTCACATGCGCGGTGCCCACAGCCCCGTGGCTGGGAGCTAAAGTTCTCCGAGAGCCGGTCCGGTGTTTCTACAATCGAACGCTGTTGTTGAGACTTAGTAATAACCGCACCGGTCCTCGGGTTCTCATCGGGGACGAAAGTCTGCCCCCATGGAATTCCCAACTCATTTTGTTCCCGGGTCTGCGCAGGATGCGGGGCGGTCCCCGTGCCCACCCAGGTGCCCCGGGTCCGGAGGGCGTGGGGATCCGTGCAGCTGGGCTGTCGCTCGCCCCAAGTCCCAAGAACAGAACCTCCCCAGCGCTCCCCGCGGCTGTGGGTCGGGCTGGGTCGGGTCTGCCGTGCGGCGGCCCACGGCCGTGGCGTGCAGTGAGCGGTGTAGCGTTGCGATGTGTGTCCATGTATAAAGGTAGCAGCACCATCTACTCAGAAACGATGCTCGGTAGTCAGGTGCCTGATGCAATATCCCTGCAGCCCCGGGTTTGATATAGATTCGCCCTGAAACCCAGAGGACCCTGAAAATTAAGGTCCTTTTCTCCTGTCCCTCATCTTGTCGTCTTTGGGTTCCCAAAGTCATCTGTGGACAGTTCTCTGATGTGTTTTTTATTTCAACAGTCAAATCTTCTCCTTATCCCAGTGTCCAAATTACATCGTTGAATCTATAGATGACCAAACGGTGGAACCTTGTTTAAGTCAAAGAGACATTGTGATGTTGGGGGAGGGGCTGGCGACACAACCCGGCGTTTCCCCCCCTCCCCGGACATTGCCCTGGCCTTTGCCACAAGGCTGGCGCCTATCTCCGTTTTGATTTGTTTCTGATGAAGTCAAATTAATTGGAGCAGTGTCACGTTTTTCATGTTGGCTTTCTTTGTCCTGGCTGCCATGATATTGATACAGGCGTGGGTTGTTACAATTAAGAGATCTTTAAGCAAAGCTCAGGGATAGACATGAATGCAACAGGGAATTACTTGCATAAAAAGTTTCTCTTACAGTATCCCTGAGTCAGAATTGGACTAGAAAGGATATTTGTGGCTGTTGCTGAGGGTAAAACATATTTTTCAAACAAGTACAACTGTTAATCAAATAATGGAGGAGGGCTTGCATTAAATCTCACATTGACAGAAATTAAGCATATGTTCATTGAGATAAATTGCTTTCCTGGATCTCGGGCACTTTTAAAAGCTAAAGTTGGTAAGAGTACAAACTCAGAACTGTATTTACCTTTATGCCTAATGAATCTTTATTCATCAAATGCCAAGTTCATTATACAGCTCCTTGTCTCCTTTCATTTATTGTCCTTGCCTAAGGGAGGCACATGGGTGAGCAAACTCCCGGTGCTGTTCTGGAAGACCAGTAATAGATACCAGGCTGAACTAGTGGAGGGCCCGGAATCCTATATAGCAGGATATACATAACCTCCCGTGTTATGGTTCAGCAGAGAGAACCGGATTTTGAAAGTACCTCAAAAAATAATATAATAGGGGGCACCTGGGTGGCTTGGTCGGCTGAGCATCTGACTTTGGCTCAGGTCATTACCTCACAGCTTGTGACTTCGAGCCCTTCATCGGGCTCTGTGCTGGCAGCTTGGAGCCTGCTTGGAACTCTGTGTCTCCCTCTCTCTGCCCCTCCACTGCATGTGCACACTCTCTCTCTCTCTCTCAAAAATGAATTAACACTAAAAAAAAAAATGTTTAAAAAGAATATAATAGGAAACCAAGAGGGGAATAGAAATGAGGTTTCTTCAGTGTGAAAATAACATTTCTAAAAATCATAAATACACCATCGGATACGCAGGTCAACTGACCAGAAAGGAATGTGATTGATCTATCAGCATGTAATCAATAAGCACTTTATACAACTTGGATGCTGGGTGCTGGACAGCAGCGTTAATAGAGACTGGTCAGCGCAGATACAGTGCTCTGTTCTCTACAAATCCATTCACCGGTGTCTTATGAAAAGTCAGGTAGGCATGTGTTACTATCCTCATTCTATTGCTAGGAGGATTGGCCCCCAAAATTGAGGATCTTGATGAAAGCTTTCTGATTCATTCTGCACTTGCTTTTTGAAAACCTAGTATTTGTTCAGCCCTTTTCTCAGCATTGGAGATCCAAAAACCACAAGTCCTGGATGCCCTGGCCTCACGGTGCCTCCACCTAGTGGGGATTCTAATAAGCCGCTGACCCTGTGCTTTAGTCCAGTAAATAACTGGACCAGCTGCCTTTCTTTTTCCAGAGAAGGCTGTTTATTCATTTGCATGTCCACAGCAGATTATAGGCCACGAGGCACTCATCAAAAAAAAAAAGAGTAAAATTTCGGGGGGAAGTCCGTCCATAGTTTGAGGTTGAATAATAGGATGTATAAAGCCATAGCATGGGTATATATTTCCTCTGTTTGGACTAATGAAAAAAATAACTCATTTTGTAAATAGGAACATATTTTTTAGTTGTTTCTGTGGAATTATTTTGTAAAATATACACAGAGACTGAACATTTTTGGTTTTTGAATTTAAAATCTGGTGGCATAAACAGGAAAGTGACCGTAGCTACTTTAAATGTAAAACCACTATTATTTTATTAAAACAGCCGGCAGGGAGAGACCTCGTCTTACCATTTTCGTACTGTACTCGCGTTTAAATTTAACTTTAATCTAGAATCCAACATTTGGTAAACTCTAACCAACAGAGAAGCCAGATTACTTAATCAGACTGGGAAACAGTTTATGAATTACAGCTTAAATATTTTTATAGTGTCTCAGCATTGCACCAACTGAGGTGGCCAGAATAGTTGACTTTGGCAAGAATGGGGAGTTTCTAAACGGAAAGTGGATATCTTTCCTAGACCTCCTTGGGCACGCCGGAGAAAGGCATCAGGTTTCGGCGTCTGTGCTTCGCCCTGATTTCAGGGTGTTAACAACACTGTCTGAGGACCTCAGCACCTCCTTGGAAGGCACAGCCGTCTTCTGATGCAGCCATCCACTTTACAGATGAGGAGACGGAGCCCAGGGAAACCCAAAGGGCTTGCTTATGCTCCTGGCCCCTAGAATGTTGTAAAGGAGGTTCTCACTGTAAAGACGTGTGTCGTCTATCATTCTGGGTTGTGTGGTTACTGGAGTTTACCACATGTTAGTTGGGACTTGATGGAAGGCTATTGTAATCGTTAAAAGGAAATTACTCTGAGGGATATTTTGGAATGTGCCCCAAACCTGAAATTCTAGAGAACTTTTTTTGGAAATTAGAAAGTTCCAGGTGAATCTGGGCTTTCTATCGCATTCACCTGCATTGGATTCTCAAGTCCACCTTTCACAGCAGCTGACTCCTTAAACCCTGTGAGCTTCCTCTCCCTCCAGGGTGAGATGGGGTAGTAGGTAGTTCCTGCCTCGGTGGGGGGTAGGGGGGCTGAAGTGATGAGTGTGAGTTGTCCTGAAGACTTAACGTGGAGTCTGGATGGTAACACTCCTGGTCAAGAGTCATTAGCTATGGACGCTGATAAATATTTTCTGGGTTTATTGACATTTTTCATGTTGTCCAGCCTCCCCTGGCTCTGTGAACCTTGCCTGCAGACCTCGTGGCTTGTGCCACCTCAGTAAACTCTCAGCCTGGTAATTAAAAGAGTTTAGACGACCTTCCTGTGTGCCTAGGGGAAGAAAAGGCCAGAGATCAGTTTTCCCAGGCTTCCTTCTGTACTGTGCTCTGCTAGGATCGGCCCCATTTGCTAAGATAGAGCGCCGTCGCCTGGTTGGGATGGTGATGTTCCTCTGTCTTTATCTTACGTACTCACCGAGTCAGCTGCACTGATCCGGGAACCCGTTACCAGTCCGGGTCTCGAAGCCATGGCATTACGAGTTGAGGTGGCTTCTAGAGTCAGGAACTGCCCCAGCGTCAGTGCCCCAACTGAGCGAGCTTTGGGAAGGAAGCCTCCTTGCCTCGGCCTTCGGTTCCCCAGGGGAGACCCTAAAGGTGTGACATCCAAGCTCCAAAGTCTGGCCTGGGGGCCATGAAAGGTGGAGAGGGGTTGGCTGGGAAGGGCTTGGGGGGATGTGGTTTTTAAATGAATAAAAAGTGATATTGTGTCCTGAGGAAGATTTATCTGCCAACCCGCTAAAGGTATCAGTACTCAAAGTCAGTCACTTAAGGAAGGGCTATTTTGTTTGGGGTCCCCAAAGCCAGGGAGTCGGTTCTCTTTGATTACCTATCATTTCGTCTGTCTTTGACATTTTTATAGAAAGACAGTTGAGGGTGAGTGAGAAGGACACAAGGCCTTAACTGGGTTACGGATGGTGGTGAGCTGGTGAAGGGAAGGAGAATTTCGTTTATTTATGTATTCACTCAATTGTTTATACAACTCGAGGAATTTTTAGCATATACCACGTACGTTGTGCTGAGCAATTGGTATATGGGATGTGATCTTTATATGATCTCTGCCATCCATGCACTTGACATCTAGTGGGAGAGGCAGACCTGTGAATGGAAGCCTATTACGTTGAAGTTCTGTGAAATTACCACATAACTGGACTTAAGTGGTCTCATTACATCGATTGTCAATTCATTTCTATTTCCCACGGTCGAAGGTCACCAAGCATTATCTGTGTGTACATCTGAATATTTTTTAATTGCTTACCCCCTTTTAAAGGGAAGCATGGTGTCCTAATAAGGTGACTGCTGAGGGACTCTTAACCAAATGCTGTGAACGATGTTGGCTCTAGTCATAGAGAAAAAGAAAGTTTCCTGGGAAGTCAAATATTAAGGCTTATTCTTGGTGCTTGATAGGTAAGCTCTTCATCTAGATCTTGGGTGGTTTCCCGGAAAACCATTTCTAATTAAAATAATTTTCAGGTACTTTCAGTAAAGGCACCCAGAAGTTCTATGTTAAGCCTAATTAGAAAAAAATGTTTTTAACATTCATTTATTATTGA